CGGGAGGGTGAGTGTGCACCAGGTCACCAGTTCCTTTAACTGCAGAAAGTGAACTCCTTGCATGAGGCCTTCAGACAAGCAGTCTGTGAAAAGTTGTGTGACCTGGGCTTTGACGGCGAGAGCCTGATCCGTGTCCGACCCTCCCCCAGGGAGAGATTTCAAACCTGGTGAGATGAGTCGCTTTGTCTGTGATCCGCCCAGTACGGGAGCCAACAGGAGACATTCTGGCTGCTTGGCACTCAGCCAGACGATGGCGGAAATGGAAGACAAAAACCCCAAAGAGTAATTCAGTAAAGTAGTGAACAAGCACCTGCTGGGCGTTGGCTTGCGCGTGTGTGAGGGAGTGTGCGTGGTGCTGGCATGGAGGAGCAGTCACGTTGGCAACTAGCAGTATGACGGCAGGGCTGGAGCAGAACCACCAGCCAGTGCTCCGTCACGGAGCAGTGCGCTCCGGCCTGTGGTCCCATTCCAAAAGCGGCCTTTCGGCGCCTTCCTTTCTGTGACCGCTGTATGCAGCTCCCCATTCTCAGGGCCGTCGTAGGTCCCCCTGCATGTTCCATGTATATCACATGTGTAGCTTTGCCCTTCAGTCGCTGGTCATGGAGGGCATCTGCTAGAACAGCTCCCCTTTCGGGGGCAGTCGGCCCGAACCCAAGCTTCCTGTGTTCTTTTGCCGCAGCCTCACAGCACGGCCCCGTGTGGAGCCGCACACCTGCTTATTGTACTCATCATGCATGGTTAATGTGGTCATGTCCGTCTCCTGCCACAGAGACCTTGCAGTCGGGGGAGCACCTGGAAAAGTGACCTTTCACTCTGCGGAGGTTCCTGGGTAGACAGAACTCATGACGGCACGGAGATGGGGGTCAGCGACTAGACAGCTGTGTGCCGAGAAATATCCTAGTTTTGCTAAATGTTATCTGAGCCTGCCTGTTTCACCTGGAACAGAATCAGAATTTTTGTAGCCGTTTAATGCAGCGATCCCCTCTCACACACTGTGGCATCTGGCAGAGTTTCACTCAGCAAACAACTACAAGCCAGTTATCAGCAGAAGCAACCTCTGCTAATGACACAGAATCTCTCTTTTTGGCTGAATTTTCTGCATAAGTCTGTGTACATAACAGTAATAAACACAAAGTAAAATGTTAAGCGCGATGAGAAGTTCATGTGTTCATTATGTTTTCCTGAGAACAAATTCCACAAGATCAGCTACTTACTGCTGTATCTAATGCATGAGCCATAATGAGGATTGATATCACAACTTATTCAAATACCTGTGACCAAATATTAGTAGCATTAATGATTTCTCTGTATTGTATTGATTTGTCATTAGGAAATGTATCTTCCGAAAAGAGGAATATTGAACCATTCAATGGAAACACGGCTTTGAGAAACTGCTGGAGGAGTCATCAGATAGACAGGATGGAGATTCGTTCTTACACCGATATGGTCTAAGTAGATGCCAATCATCATTTTCCTGGACATTATTTGCAAGTAAATGTATTCAAGCAAGGTGCATGTCCTTGTTTGTCAGAGGAAAAATGAGTGTTTAGTATTTTCAAGTCTGAGCTGCATCAGTCTTTCAGCAGGCATGTGGTGCTCACTTCAACATCTTTTTTCACTCACATAGTTTACAAGCAAAGAGACCCAGATAGATGGAATAGGCAAAAAAAATCAAAACTCACTGCAACATCTAGTTCCCACATGGTTTTGCCTCAAGTACAGATACACATCTAATTCATTAAAATGCTTTTCATACGGGATTTTTCTTCAGTTTTAATACTTTGCTTTATAAAATGTTCAAAGGTGAAGCAGGGTTGATTCACGCAATGCTTTGGTCAGAAACAGCATAGAAACCTCGTTGTGGCAGACAGATAACACTTTGAATGCTCACCTCATGAGAGGTGTGAAATCACTCAGCTTTGTTTGTGCTTCCCGGTGGAGAGAAATGACTCCTTAGGTTGGGGTAAAGGGGAAGCCTTGGTTGTTCTGTAGATAACAGCAGAAGTATCTGCTCACGTTGGAATAATTGTTACATACTGTATGCACTCCTCTGCCAAAGGAGTTCGAGGTTCAGCTAAATGTTGCCTTGTGGCTCCTACCATACTGGTTTTGTGTGTTGTCTTGATTGGCTCAGATAATGTGAACTGAAAAGTATTACTTCACGGCACTGACTCCAGTGGAATCCTCCCAGTTCTTGCATCATGAAAATGGATTGTGATAGCGAGCATTCTCGTTTTCCTGCAATGATAACTGGCCTGATCCTTTACTGCCCCAGTTTGAAAGACAGTGCAACTGGAATCTACACTCTTTAAGGGCAGTAGTGGTGCTGTGGGTGTTTACCAGCCTTTGTTACTTATCTTGTCTTGCTCTCCGCATGGGTGCATACAGCCACGCGTTATACGTCTCCCCTTCTCTCCTTTCAGGGGTGACCTGCTCACTGCGAACGCAGGGCCATAGAAAATGGGTCACTGGCAGTATCTTCACCGTCTGTCGTCGCCCGCAATGATGACAGAGCAGCTCTTTAAGTCAGCTGGTAGGAATTAGGATTTTAAATTGTGTGCTATGCTGTAATTCCTTGCCTGTTAATTGCCTTGGGTTTTTTAATGCTTTTACATTTCTCACTGTAAAAGTTTCATGTGGGCCTTCCAGTCCAGACCCTCCCTCCCCTCTGTGTGTCTGTCCTTACAGTTTATCAACTTAGTTTGGTTATTTTGTTGACAATTTCAAAGAAACACGGAGGTAGCTGTTTCCAATACTTGCTTGAGGGTAACATTCAGGCTTTGAACACGTTTTGGCCAAAGTGATCCAGAATTACACTGTCCGCCCCCCCCCCCCTCCATTAGCCTGGCTCTGAGTTTGTTACCCTAAATTTAAATATCTGGCTTTTTTCTCCTGTAATCATTTACATTCCTAAATTTGCACTTTTCAGATAGATTGTGTCTCATTCTAATTTTAATATCAGTGTTATTTCCCATGGCACCTTTTGTTTTATTATATATGATGAATATTCTCCACCCCCTTTCCCTACCTGCCCCTTTAATCCTTATGCTCATACCATGCTTATGAGCTGAAATATTTTATCAGGTGGAAGCCGCTGTCAAAGTTATCATTTTAATCTTATTTCAATAAAAAAAATAATCTCTCTTCTCCGTTTGACAACAGCTAATGGTTTTTTGTTATCGTAAACAAAACTTTGAGGACTTAAACTGTGTAAAAAAAAAAAAAAATGAAGCAAGCTGGATGTTTCTCACCTTGTATGTAACGGGAATGAAGGGAGAATCCAGGTAGTTCGTGAAAGATGTAGATCCTAAGTGATAGACGATTGGATGTGTCTCAGATCTGGAAAGCAGGTGAAATATGACTGGATCCGTGTCTGATATTCTTGTCAACAGAAGTAAAGACTAAAGCTCAGAACGTCTTCCCAAGGTTGAGCAGTATGGGAAGGGGATACATCAAATGTACTGTACAAACAACTATGTGTTTTTGGGTGTGGAAGAGTCAGAAAGACAGAAATGATTCAGAAGAGGCTCACCTAGGATAAATCATGCAGTTCAATTGGACAATAGGATCTAAATAATACAAATCAATGATCATCTCTATAAAGGGAGTGAGATGCTGTGTGCACAGAATGGTCCAGAACCCCTTATTGTTCAATCAAACCCATCTCTGAATTCTTTTAAGCACAAATCCCCTTCACTCCATTTCCAGTTCTGTACACATGCTGTGTTTAATTATTTTTAATGCTCAGTCCCTTCTCTGGGGTATTAGATGCACTTTAAAGTAGTTACATTAAATGTTTTATGCACAATATCACGACACAAACTGCTAATAAGCCAAAAAATCTAACCTCCTCACATGTCTGTGGAGGAGAAAATAATCTCCATGAAAGTTTTTGTAGTACTGCTCTTGAACTTTGCCAAATGTTCTCCAAACATTTGCTCATATCTTGTTGGACTGCTTGCAGAACACCATTGTGGTTCCCAAATCTCTCCTCAAAACGTGTGTATGTGTATATACAGTATATATATATAATACAAATAATAAATAATATATATATATGTGTGTGTGTGTGTATGTGTGTGTATATATATATATATATATATATATATATGTGTGTGTATGTTTTACCACCAGGTCAATTACAATTTGATTAGTTGAATAGGCTAATGAGGTTTTGATTAGCCAAACAAGGTGTGTTAGTGGTCGAGTCAAAAAATCCATGGGTGTATTGGATGGTTGCTATAAATTCTGGTGTGACTTTAGAAGAGATTTTGAAATTACTAAGATGACACTTTGGCAGACATAATATAGTTGTACAGCAATATGATGATCATTTAAACATTACTTTCTTTGACGGCCTGAGACATTTGCACAATACTGTACACTGGTACCTTCATACGGATAGCTTAGTGTGTAGCGTATAGATTTTGTGTCGTTTTATTTTTCCATCTGTTCAGGATTACATAATGACCACTTTATTTTTTTAAGAAGCAGTGTGTTTGCAGAGTGAGCAGTGAAATATTTAGCTGTCCGCAGTGCCTGTCCTTCCCCATCTCTTTCCTTCTCCCTCTTAAATGATGACGTTTCACAGCGCCGACAGGAAACGGATTGCATTTTTAATTTGACACACTAGAGAAGATCTCTAGCCCTTTAACCTGACGTTGGTTTCCCAACGCAACCCAAACGTGGAACGATGTCGTGGGCCACTCTGAGTGTGCCTCTTCTCATCATTAGCTGGATTGGTGCTTCATCACTTTGCAAAAATTCCTATCTGCTGAACATAAGGGAAAGAAACGGCGGGGAATCAATCTTGTGTGCTTGGCCAGATAAACAGGAGACACAATCGGGGGAGAGGAGAGAGACGAGAGGGTCTCGTCCTGCCCATGATGGATGGCTGGAGTAAAAGTGTCAGAATGGTATTATGTAAATGACAGAGGCATCCGAGCTTTGCCTTGATGATTATGGGAGATGTGAGTGATGCTTGTCGTCCCCAGATACTCCAAGGGCCTTATTATTTCGCTTCCCCATGACCAGCCCGCGAGTGTGACCTCAGCCCTTCTGGGGGGAGGGGAGCGAGGACACAACCCGAAGAGGCGTCTGTTTTATTTACTGAGCGAACAATGTGCCAGGCTGGATCACCTCACGGGCATTGGGGACACCCGGGGAGAATCGTCTCTTCATTCCACTCCATCCCAGGCAAATCAGCCTCCTGACAACTAGACCCGTGAGGGAAATGTCTGTTTCTACCTGCACCCTGTAAGTATTTGCATAAAACTGAAATACCTTTATTAAAAAACTGTCCTCCGCTGAAATAGCGTGCCAGTGTGTAAATCTGCTTTCCTTCACTGTATTGTACTGATCCTGAACTCCCAGAACACCTTATCATCAGATTACTTGCTTAGCATATATAATATATATATAGTATTTATACGCTTATCATAAAACCTGGTTTTTGCAAGACATGAGGTTGGCAGCACAGTCCACATTTCCCCAAAAAGAGCCTTATAAATGCACAAACAACATAATATTTGTGCTTCTGGTGGGTTTGCGTCTTTCCCTCGGATTAGACAGCAGTCGTAGTCGCTCTGGGAGCCAAGGCCATATGGTTTTTACCTCCAGTCCAGGCTCCCTGCACTTCTTGGGCTTCTCATAGCTAGGAGAGGCCAGCAGAAGGTTCTGAGCTCCAACTGAGGATAGCAGTTTGGCCTGGAAAGAAGGAATGACTGAGCGCTCGCATGGCGGTCCTGAGTGAATGGAGAGGCTTAACAGGATTACCCGTTTCACAAAAGGTCATGATCCTATGTGGTCTTTTTCGTACTGCACTTGTGAACATGCGACGTGGAGAGTCTTTCCTCGTACAGGACGAGGCATTGGTGCACTTTTCTTTTGTAAAATTTGAGGTTTAATTTGTTACACGTTTGTGCGATTTCAATCCTGCCTATAATTTTTATTCCGTGATAGCGCATATTTCATAATCCGTCAAATAAACAATATAGCGTACCATTGTGATGCTCTTACAATTAGTATTCTGTAAAATAGTCTGTAGTAACCTAATATAAAATTCAATTCATTTGGCGCCCGGATCTGGGATCAGAAGCTTTGAAATGTGGAGAAGCTTAATGGCTAATCTTCTATAGTGCGTTCTAGCAGGGAAAAGCCCAAGAGCTGCTGACTGTTAGTGATTCGACTGCTAAAGGTTGTGTGGAAAACTCCAGTGCTATTGGTTTCTGAGAGGGCGGCTCCTGCTTTGATGCCCTGTGATGAAGAAAAGGAGAGTGAAGTGTGTGCAAGAGGAAACGCTGAAGGCGCTGCGCCACTGTCACCTTTGTGGATGCTGGGCTGCAGTGTTTCTGAGCAGCACATTTATTTATTTTTCTAAAGGGTTGCCGTCCGGCAATCGTGGTAAATCTGAGCTAATTTCACCTTGCAAACACGCACGGACCGGGCACCACTGCTGCTCCGCAGCTTGGCAGCCTTAGGACAGGACCTTATGAGAGCATCATCCAGGAAGAAGAACATGCCTGACGACCTGGAGCTCCACTGATCGTCCTGACTTCAGTGGGGTTCACCCCAGTGGGGAGCACCAGGTTACAAATGTGGGAAAGCCCCGAGAGCCCATCTGGTATACCCTGGCCCTTACAATGGAGGCTGGATGGAGCAGACCTGAGGAGCAGAAGATTAAGCTCAGCAAATCTGCTCCGCTAGAGTTGCAGGGTCAGGCGGATAGACAAAAATCCTGCTGAGGGAATGTATGGATATGGATGTGACCACACAGGGCTCGTAACCGAATCGGCCAAAGCGACATACCCGGCCTGGTGTTGCCGCTTAGAGCTTCCCCAAGGGCCTGGTAAGTGGCTCACTGGGCTAAGTCTCTGTGCCCGCGATTGGAAGATGTCCGCTTTGAGCCCTTACCTTGGCAGAACAGTCACATGTCTGTGGGCCCTTGAGCGAGGCCCTTAACCCCCAGCTCCAGGGGCCCCCACCACGTTAGCTGATCCTGTGCTGTGGCCCCCAAGCAATGGGGAGCAACATGGCGGAGGCCAAGAAAAGAATTCCAGTGTGCCTGTACTCATGTTTGTGCAAATGCCGAATAAAGGATTTTTATTATTACGTGCAGCTGGTTCTGGTGTGAACTTGATCAGAATGAGGACCAGCTAGTCTGCAGCGAAAGCTTACTCACATGGGGAGAAGTCGTCTCCATACAAACCCTGCTGGAATATTATTCTTAGTCGGTTCATTATAGGTTGTTTTCGCTGCTCACTTACTGTTCATCACACTTGCAGGCCAGCAGTCCTGCTTTTACATTCAGTTTTGGTGTTTATCTGCTTTGTTTTGAATCTTTTTTTTTTTTCTTCCCCAGTTATTTTCAGCATTATTATAAAGCTTATTATAAAGTTATGTTTCCAGACTTTAGCTCTGCTATGCTGGTTTCCTAAATAGATCAAAATGAGCCGAGACAAACAGCTGGTGATGTAACGGAGCATGTGACAGTATACAGTGCATACCTGCACTGGGACTGTATGTTCCCACAGTCATAGACGCAGGCAGGTTGACGGTACTCTTGGGTAAATGTTTAAGGAATGCAATTTCACGATGCTTTTGGAAGACCCTGAGTAACTGCGGACTGTATGTAAATCACACAGGGTCACAGCATTTCAAAGGCAGATTTGGAGAGCATGTTGTAATGATTCTATTGACCTCTCCTGCCTAATGAACCGAGCCTGTGTGAAGGACCACTGACGAAAAGCAGCCACTGGAGGCAGCCTTTGTCAGCTTCAAAGTAGTGAGCAAATGACAATATAATCTCACCACCTATGGAACCTTTCAGGTGTCATTCTGCTCAGGGCCTGTGAGGGATAAAAAGATTTGTGCTCAGATTCAAATTAAGCTACACTGTAAAATCTTGCAGAAGGTAATAATTTAGCAGTTTTATTATCATTTTCTTTTGATCCGTCTCCCCTGCACGACTGTTCCAGTCCCGATGGTAGAGTCCAGTCATACCCAGGACTCTAATAACCCCTTCTGTTACAACCCAGCTTTGCCCTTCCGTGTTAACACACTGTGAACTGAGCACAAGTGACAAAGTCAATCCATCACCGTGGCCGCGCCACAAAGAGGGACAGAAGACCTAACAGAAATTGATGACATCCCTGCTGGAATTTTACACCATTTCGGCCGGAGCTGCGATTGAAACAGACAGAGATTTATAGTGCCGCTGCCGCCGCTCCACGTGATTGCACTTCTGCCGTGTGCTCGTAGTTTGCATATTCATCCAAGAGCCTGTCAGAAACCCTCAGCTGCCTCTGACTGACATCCATATTCACCCAATGAGGATGGAGCCTCGTGAACCCGCCCCCCCCCACATGGCCGCTAATGGTTTGTTAAGCGTGCTGTTTTTGATGTGCTGCGGTACAGAGGGCGTCGCAGTCACTTCTACATGTCAGGGCCAATTAGAACAGTTATGTCACACTGAGACACCTTTTCTTAAGGTGGTGTTTTCCGAGAGAACAACCTTAAGTTGTTACTCTGTTTCAAATAGCCCATGGTATCCTAAAGTCGTTGGCTTGTTGATTTCTGTTGGTTGTGCGTCTGTCTTTCAAACCGTCCCTTTTCTTTCTCCATTTTGGCTTGCATCACACATCTTCGATCACACCAGACAGCTACTCATGGAAAATATAAATTTAGGCATAATAAAATAGACATTATGGAGCAGAAAGAAATGTTCCTTGTCGCTGTCATTTTAAGTTGCATAGTATTTAGTGCAACAGAAAATTCCTTATTATAATATAAATAAGATGAATATCCTCGCTGTCCAGTGAAAATCTCCAAAAATCTATTATTTCATGAACATAAAAAATACATTTTCTCAGAAACTACTTTACAAAATAAACCTAAAACAACGTAATGAGACACCCTTAGCACCAGAAATAGAAACCTGTGACACAGCCGTCAGTGAACGGCTTAATGTTTTAAATGGACTTGCATAGATTGCTGTCAGCAAGGCAAATATGTCAATGTCAATAAGAAACACACTAATCTTGCAATTCACAATTAATAATGATTCTTGTTAGCTAGTTATCTGGCTATCAACGTTGTTAAAATGAGCCATTTAAAGTAATCCATACAAATGACCATCATGAATATAAATGTTAACTAGTGCATACTTAAATACTAGTTAAGTGACTTCATAAAACATCTTTTCATCGCCCAATTAAACGTCACATGCTATCAGTAGCCAGAAGAGAATGGGCATATTCCATCTATAGTAAGAAATTACAATTGTCAATACGCACTTTTCGCTAGACAGAGACGATATGTTTCATCTAAAACCATCTACAACAAACCACAGAACATTTTGACTAGAATTCAGAAGCTTAAATGCACAATAGAGGGGAGTGGAACAAGAGCATGTTTTCCTTAGATTGTGTATGAATCCAGGTCATATGCCGTCAAATGCTTACGGGCTATTCCGCCAAATCGGTGCCATTTCTGTCCCCAGGACGTTATATGTATAAATATGCATGAAAAGTAGCTTTATAATACATGTTATTATCAAAGTGTCCTCCACAATGTCCTCATTGCAAATTTAAGATACATAATGAAAAACATTAATAAAACCCACCTATAACACTGAAAAAACAGTTTGTCACCTGTCCTTGTTCACTAATGCTACACTTCACCATGAAATATAATGATAAAAACCTTGAAATATCGTATTTTTTTGTATTTTTGTGTGACGGTATTTCCCATTTATGCTTTAAATACATTTTCCGTATAGTAAATCAATAATATGCTATTTAAAATGCAAATTTTAGTTGTGTCCCAAGGATTTCACTCAGTCCTGTTACCTGAATACATTTCTGCCCCTCAAAAATTTGGCACATTCCAGAAGTGGCATGTTCAACTGTAACTTGCATTATCTCAGTCGCCTGAAGACCATAAGAAGACCAATAATGAGTTCTCTCACTTTCTTTTCTGTACAACGCCATTTACAAAAAAGTTGGGATGCCGTGTAAAATGTAAAGATCAGGTACACCCTCCTTTAGCTCCTCCGGGGAATACCAAGGCTTTCCCCGGCCAACCTAGAGAAATAATCTGTCCAACATGTCTTAGGTTTGACCCAGGTTCTCCTCCCAGTTGGACATTCCAGAAACACCTCCCCAGGGAGCCGTCCAGTAGGCATCCTGGATAGATGCCCAAACCACCTCAACTGGTTCCTTTTGATGCAGAGGAGCAGAGATCCTACTCTGTGCTCC